GGGGAGGGCATTCGCCAGACGTTCACGCTTCCGGCCTCTCCGCAGCAGAATGGGGTTGCTGAGCGCCGCATTGGCTTGGTCATGGAGGTCGCTCGTACCTCCATGGTCCATGCGGCTGCCCCCCATTTTCTGTGGCCGTTTGCGGTCCGGTACGCCGCGCATCAGCTCAACCTCTGGCCCCGTGTCTCCTTGCCGGAGACTTCGCCCACACTGCGGTGGACTGGGGAGGTTGGCGATGCGTCGGTGTTCCGGGTCTGAGGTTCTCGTGCCTTTGTCCGCGATACCACCGCGGACAAGCTCTCCGCCCGCGCTGTTCCGTGTGTCTTCCTTGGCTTTGTCCCTGACACGCCTGGTTGGCAGTTTTACCACCCCACCTCGCGCCGTGTCTTCCCCTCTCTGGACGTCACGTTCGATGAGTCGGTTCCCTTTTACCATCTCTTCCCCTACCGCACTGCCCCTCTCCCCCCCCCCCGCCGCTCTTCCTCGCTCCAGGTGCTCCCCATGTAGACCCCCCCCTCGCTCCCGGTCCTGCTCCTTCAGGTGTGTCTCAGGTAGACCCTCCTCCCTTGACTGCGCCGGTTGAGGTCACTGGTGACTCAGGTCCTGCTGAGGGTGGTCCTGCTCGGGGTGCTGCTTCTGGGGGTGCTGAGCCTGGGGGTGCGGAGCCTGGGAGTGCTGAGCCTGGGCGTGCGGAGCCTGGAGGTGCTGAGCCTGGGGGTGCGGAGTCTGGGGGTGCTGAGCCTAGGGGTGCGGAGCCTGCGGGTGCTGAGCCTGGGGGTACGGAGTCTGGGGGTGCTGAGCCTGGGGGTACTGAGTCTGGGGGTGCTGCACCTGGGGGCGCTGAGGCGTCTGGTGAGCAGTCTCCCTGGAGCAGCCGTCTCCGTAGTCGCTCCGCTGGTGCCTCGCCACTGCACTCTCGTCCTCGTCTCCCTCTCTCCCCACAGCAGCTGCGTGAGTGGTACGTTAGCCATCAAGGTCGAGCTGCTGGAGCTGGAGGCCCTGCTGCGGGAGGAGCTGGTGTTGGAGGCACTGGAGTCGGCGCTCTCCCTCTCTCCCCACAGCAGCTGCGTGAGTGGTACGTTAGCCGTCAGGGTCGCGCTGCTGGAGCTGGAAGCCCTGCTGCGGGAGGTGCTGGTGTTGGAGGCACTGGAGCCGGCGCTGTCCCTCTCTCCCCACAGCAGCTGCGTGAGTGGTACGTTAGCCGTCAGGGTCGCGCTGCTGGAGCTAGGGGCCCTGCTGCGGGAGGCGCTGGAGCTGGTGACTTTGCTATTGGAGTTGTTTCTACTGGAGTTCCTGGAGCAGCTGGTCAAGGAGGTGCTCAAACTGGAGGTACTGGAGCTGCTGGGACTGGAGGTCCTGCTGGACGTGGAGGTGCTGCTGTCGACTCTGAGGTTGGAGGCCTGGAGCTGGAGGTGCCGGCTCTGGGTGTGCTACTGCTGGTGGCGCTGGAGCTGGAGGTTCTGGAGCTGTTGTGGGTGCTGGCGCTGGAGGTTCTGGAGCTGTTGGAGGTGCTGGCGCTGGTGGCGCCGGAGCTGGAGGTTCTGGAGCTGCTGCGGGTGCTGGCGCTGGAGGTTCTGGAGCCGCAGGAGGTGCTGGAGCTACTGGTGCTGGTGTCACTGCACCGCCGCGACTGTTCTTTGCTCCGCCGTCACCTTCGTCTCTGCCACCGCCTGGCTCCGTGCTTCGCCAGGTTCTTAGCCTCCCGTCTTCTACTGGTCTTCCGTTACAGCCTGGCTCACCGCTGCCTGCTCCTTCTCCTTACACTGAGCTGACAGGCGGTCTTGCTGAGCGTCGTGAGCCTGCGTATCGTCCTGTCTCGCCTGTTCGCACTGTCCGCACTGGTCGTACTGGTCGTCGTGTTCCTCGTGAGCGTCCACCGGCTGTCCCCGGCACACACCTCATGGCCTTGCGTCCTTCCTCTGCTCCGCAGCGTGTTCCCCTTCCGTCCCCTCCTGCGTCTTCTTTGCCTGATGTTCCAGAGCCTGAGTCTGACCGCGCTCGTGCTGCTCACCCTTCTGGCATGCGTCTGCTAGCCACTGTTGTCATTGACCCGTCGTTTGAGTCTGCTGCTGCGTCTGCCTTAGTCGCTGAGCTTGTTGACTTTGCTGCTGCCTGTCGTCTAGACTACGCCGCTAGTCTTGTTGCTGAGTCTGAGTCTGTCTGTCCTCCGTCCGTCGGGGGTGAGTGTGCTCTTGGCACGGACGTCCTTGAGGACAGGCACGAGGAACTTGAGTGTCTTGCAGCCGTTGCGCCTCATCTCGTGTCCATGCTGCTTGCCCCTGAGGGAGACCCGGATGCTCCAGACATCCCGACCCCGCGCTCCTACGCTGAGGCGATCGCGGGTGAGTACTCCTCTCAGTGGCAGACAGCCATGGACGCAGAGATGGCATCCTGGAAGTCCACAGGCACTTACGTTGACGAGGTTCCCCCTCATGGGGCGAACATCGTCGATGGCATGTGGATTTTCAGGGTGAAGCGGCCGCCAGGTTCTCCGCCTGTCTTCAAGGCTCGTTACGTTGCTCGAGGTTTTAGTCAGCTAGAGGGAGTAGACTTCTTCCAGACCTTCTCCCCCACCCCGAAGATGACCACTCTTCGGGTGCTGCTGCACGTTGCCGCTCAGCGTGACTATGAGCTTCACTCTCTTGACTTCAGCACAGCTTTCTTACAGGGCAGCCTGCACGAGGAGATCTGGCTGCGTCGCCCTCCTGGCTTCACTGGGTCGTTCCCTCCTGGTACCCAGTGGAGCCTCCGACGGCCGGTCTACGGTCTCCGCCAGGCGCCACGTGAGTGGCACGACACACTGAGGACGACACTTGCTGCTCTTGGGTTTGCTCCGTCGACTGCTGACCCGTCGTTGTTTCTGCGCACCGACACTTCGCTGCCGCCGTTCTACATCCTCGTGTATGTCAATGACTTGGTCTTTGCCACTGCTGACACTGAGGCTCTCGCCCTGGTGAAGTCGGGGCTACAGAAGAGACACACGTGCACAGACCTGGGTGAGCTGCGCAGTTACCTTGGCTTGCAGATCACCCGGGACAGAGCACGCCGCACCATCACACTGACTCAGTCACACATGGTGCAGTAGGTCCTTCAGCGCTTCGGTTTCACCTGATCCTCGGCACAGGCCACTCCTCTGGCTACAGGTCACTCGCTCTCAGCTCCACCTTCGGACGAGTCCGTAGAGCCGAGTGGTCCTTACCCAGAGCTAGTGGGCTGCCTCATGTACCTGATGACCTGCACTCGTCCTGACCTTGCGTACCCTCTTGGCCTTCTGGCTCGCTACGTGGCTCCTGGTCGGCACCGAAAGGTGCACATGGATGCTGCTAAGAGGGTACTACGCTACTTGTGCAGTACATCGGGCATGGGGTTCGTGCTTGGAGGACGGGGCGACGATGTCCTCACTGGGCACTCGGACGCTTCTTGGGTTGACGACCAGGCTACTCAGCGGTCGTCACAGGGTTACACCTTCAGCCTTGGCTCTGGTTCAGTTTCTTGGCGTTCTACACGATCGTCTTCAGTTCTCGGCTCCAGTTGTGAGGCTGAGATCTACGCCACAGCCATGGCTGCACAGGAGTTACGATGGCTCACCTACCTGCTGACCGACTTGGGAGAGCGGCCTCGTTCTCCTCCACTGCTGTACGTCGACAACAAGGCCGCCATTGCCTTGTGTCAGGAGCACAGACTGGAGCACAGAACGAAGCACATCGCTCTGCGTTACTTCCTTGCTCGAGAGTTGCAGCAGCGTGGTCTTCGTCTTCCTCACGTGGCCACTCGGGCCAACACTGCTGATATATTCACCAAGGCACTTCCGTCTGGTGATCATCAGCGTTTTTGTACTTTGTTAGGCCTTGTGCCCACGTTTCCTCACTTGCTGTAGACTTTGCCTGTACTGTGATCTATATATATACCTGCATGCTTGCTCTGGTAGGTAGAGATCACAGTGCTGCCGTTGTTGCATATATACCTCTCCATGTGAACTGGCCTTGTGGCCCTTTGCTTGTGCTCAGTGTGTGTGGTGACGTTGTGATCCACCCTGAGCTTGCTTTGCTTCTCTTGACTGGTCTTGTGACCCCTTGTTCTCCCCCACTTTGCCTATGGGGGTGTGTCAAAGTATATGCATGTTATATATGTGTAGGCTGTAGTGGGGTAGCCAATATGGGGTACAGCCCCGTTTAGGGTTTCATACTTGTACCCAACTCTTCCATAGTGCATTCATTCCTGTCTCTAGATTCTAAGAGTAATCATATATGCCGAACTTTTCTTTGCGCAAGAATCAAGCCGAAATTGCTCTGATGGTGTATTTGAACATGAGCTATTTGAATATGCATTAAACTATCGGAGTTTATTGCGAGCGATGCAAAAGCTAGGAGCTAAGATGAGAAAGGGAGGAGCGAAATGTGGAGGGAAAGGTGGAGGCAGAAGTTTAGGTGGGAGCGTTGCACGACCATCGTGAGCAGGAGCATCGTGAGCGGAATCATCGTGAGCAGGAGCAGCATCGTGAGCAAGAGCATTGCATGAGCAGAAGCATCATGAGCCGGAGTTGAATGATGTGATTTGAATATCTGCTTTTTATTTATGCTCGTTATACCAATAGAATTGTCAATTTAAAGGTTTCAAGCACAAATGATTGTACGAATGGCAAAATATGTACTGCGTTGTAATTAATAACAAAATAAGGATGATTTTTTTTTTTTTTGTGGCCTTCCCAATAAGGTAGATTACTATGTCTGGTTTGGTGATTTATTCATACATTTCATAACCCTGGCTTTGCTCTTGCTTGACAGGGCTATCCCTGTTTGAGTTTCGCCATGCAACGAACAAACCCAAGCAATCTTGAATCACGTGCTGTTTCCAATTTCTTACGGTAAGAATATCTTTTGCTCCTCACTTGCACTCCAGCATCTCCCCAGCCCACCAGTGCTGCTTTCCACTCTCACAGCCAGTTGCTATAGACGATGGCATAACCACACCACACCACAAAGCCGCCCACGCTGCCTGCCCTATCGGCCGCCCTCCTCCCCCATCTCACCCGGCCCTGCCTGCCTCGCCTCCCCCTCATCACTACCGTGCGGCCCCTCAGCCTCCCTGACAGCACGCCTGGCCTCGTCCAGCAAGCGCCGTGTCTCGAGCAGAGAGGCCATGGCGCGGTTGTCCCTCCCCGCCACCGCCGCCAGCGCCTGCGCTGCCTGCTCCGCCTCCGCCATCAGCACCCTGGGGAGCGGGGAAGGGGAACGGGAGGGGGGCCGGGGGAAGTGAAAACATGTGAGGAGGGGAGGGAGAGGGGGTGCAGTAGGGAAGATGCCAGCGCCTGCGCTGCCTGCTCCGCCTCCGCCATCAGTACCCTGGGGGACGGGGGATGCGGGTGAAGGGGGGGAAGGAGGGGAGAGTGAAGTGCAGTAACGGGGTGGAGGGGGACTGGGAGGAGCTGGCAGGTGGGAGAGGGGGATGAGGTGACAAGGGTGAGAAGGGAGGTGGGGAGTGAAAAGAGGTGAAGAGAGCTGAGCAGGAGGGGGAACAGTAATGGGGACTGACGAGCGGTCCGGAACAATGAGCACATGCATGCTGGGGCAAAATCACATGGCATTGTGATGAGCCCACTGTGCAGCGCCTCGCATGGCTTCTCCCTTTTCGTTTTCCCCTTCCCCTTCCGCACTCTCCCCTCTCCCTGCTCTCACCGTGCTCTCTCTGCCAGTTGCTTTCGCCTGCGTGCCACCATGTGCCGGGTCATGCTCTGCTGAGCATCCAATGCAGGCACAGACGCAGATGCAGATGCAGAAGTACCCCTGTCGTCCCACACGCCTCTTTCGTCCGTGTCAACACTACCATCTCCCATTCCACTGCTCCTGCTGCTGCTGCTGCTGCTGCTGCTGCCGTCCGTGCTGCTACTCCCATTGACCCCACCCAACACCCCATTCTCACCCCCATCGCCACCGCCACTCCCATCATCGCTGGTCCCCCTTCCACCGTCCTTATCCCCTTCCCTCAGCACCTCCTGCCATGGCATCTCCCTGTTTACACCTGCTCGCCCCTCTGCACCCCTCCATGTGCCCCTCTTCTTCAGCCCTTCCCCAAGCCCTTCCCCTAGTCCCATTTCCCCCCTTAGTAGCACACCGTCCCACGCACCGCCCACCCACACCTGTTTCGTTCTCCCCCTTTCCCCCTGCCTCTCCGGTCTCTCGTTCCGCCCATCCTCCCCCTCCCATTCGCTCTCCCACTCTTCCACCTCCTCTCCTAGCTTCTCCCGACCCCCCCCAATGTCCCCCATGTCTTGAGTAGCTGACCCATCAAACGCTGCCTCTCCTCTTCTCTCTCTGCTCCTTATGCCATCACCCTCATCTCCCCTCCCCTCCCCACCAATCCCACGCTTCTCCCCCCCTCCTCTCTGCGACACAATCACAACCCGCTTAAACGGCGTCACCACTCCCCCCGACCCTCCCTCGCGCCGCTCCCCCTCCTCGCCCTCCGCTCCTCTCTCCCCTCCCTCCACCCCCCCCTGCTGCCTGTGCTCCTCCCTGCCTGCGTCCCCCTGCAAGGAGCCTTGCTCACCGCTCTGCGCCTCAGCAGCCATCACGAGCTCAACAAACGCCTCGTCTGGGTTTGGAATCACCACCACCTCTGCCGCCGCCGCTTTTGCTGCCTTTGCTGCGTCGCTGGAATCAGGCGCGTCAGCAGCAGCAGCAGCACCATCACCACTACCAGGAATACCTTCACGGGTACTCTCTGGACTGGCATCGCCCAGCAAAGCAGAGCCTTCCGCTGCTTTGCCCCTCCTCCTGCTGCTGCTGCTGCTGCGTGGCCTTCCTCCCTCCCCGCTTGCGGCTCGTCGCCTCTCTGCCCTCTTGCTCTTGCTCTCGGATCCGCTTGTGCTGTCCCCACTGCTCCTGCTGTTGGGCCTCGCCAGGCGAACAGCCGATGCCACTCGACTGCGATATTCCTGCATGCATGCACATATTCACGCACGCACGCACCCTCCCGCACACCCACGCATGCATGTATGCACGCAGAGCAGAGCAGGGCACATAAAAGATGAGCATAGCTCACACCACTCCTCTCCCCACCAATAGGACCCAACGACTGTGGCCTGTACCTTCCCCCCTGCCCAACCATGCCCATGCCTATGCCATGCCCATGGCCATGCCCATGCCCATGCCCATGCCCATGCTTCATCCTTACAGGGTCGGCCCATTTGGCCTTGATGGCTTCACTGATTCGCTTCCTGTGCTCCTCACTGTGCTTCCCTCTAACCACCCTCTCCACCTGCCTCCTCCTCCTCATCCTCCTCTCCCCACCCTCACCATCCCCACCCAACTCACCCTGCCCTCCAACCCCCCCATCCACTTCCCACCTCTCCTCCCCATCCCCATCCCCATCCCCCTCCTTGTCCGTCTCCCCTCCGCCTCCCTTCCACCTCCTCCTCCTTCTCCGCCCGCCCATCTCCATCTCATCAGCATACAGCACTCGTCCGTTGCGGCACCGCACCAGCGCCCTCTCGCCCACGCCCCCCGCCGCTGCAGCGCGCGCCAGCTCCGCGTGCCACTCCTGCCGCAGCGCTGTTACCAGCGCCATGTGCTCGTGGCGCTGCTGCCAGTTGGCGCGCAGCTTTGCTGCTATCAGCGCGCGCGTCTCCACACTGGGCGCAGGTGCGCGGGGGCAGGTGAGAGCACGGGGGAGAGGGGGGGCGGGGAAGGGGGGAATGGGGGGATAGGGCGGTGGGGGCGGAGACGAGGGAGGAGATGGAGAGGTTGGGGAAAGAGGAGATGGGAGAAGGGTGAGTGAATGCAGTGGGATGGGGACATGTGGGGGGTGGGGGGGAGGAGAGAAGAGGGTGGGGGAGGTGGGGAGGGGAAGAGGAGAGAGAGGAGGGTGCATGACAGGCAGGCAGCGGTGGGTGGAGGGGAGCGATAGCTGCAGGCGATGCTTGCAAACTGTGAGCAGCAAGGAGCTGCCTTTGGAGTAGTATCTCTGCCTATGCCTGCACCTCTTCCCCCCTGCCCCCAACCCCCCCTGCCCCCACCTCCCCCTGCCCCCACCTCCCCCTGTGCGCACCTCTGGCGGTGGCCGCGCTCCTTGAGGCGCGCGCGGATGCTGGGGTCGCTCATGGCGACCTTGGTGCGCTCCCTTATCCTCGCGCGCACCTCTGCCCGCCCATGTGGTGTGCCGCACGGCCCGAGTGGGCGGGAGGGGGGGAGGGAGGAGAGAGAGGGGGAAAGAGGGGAAGAGAGTGGGGAAGAGAGTGGGGAGAGGGGGGGAAAGGACAGCAGTAGAGAGGGAGAAGTGAGGAAAGGCATAGTAACACATGGTGAGGGTGAACCACCACACACACAATTAGCCCGCTTTGATCGCCTGCTTCCCCTCCCCCCCACCCCCCCTCGTGTTGCTCACCATCGCTCCACCGCCTGCCCTTGTTCCACGGCACGCGCCCTCTATTCGCCTCGCTGATCCTCTCCCGCCGAATCGCCTCCTTGCCCCCATCCCCATCCCCATCCCCATCCCCGTCCCTCTCCCCACCGTCCTCCCCCTCCCACTCCCCATCGCTTTCCTCCTCTGAGCCCCCCTCCCCCTCCGCATCTTCCGCCTCCTCGTCTGCCCCCCACTCCGTCTCGCTCTCCTCGTGCTCCTCCGCCTGCTCCGCCTTCCCCCGTGCACCCACCCCCTCAACCTCCGTCCAGTTCCCACCATCTGCGCCACTTGCGCCACCTGCGCCACCTCCGCCAGACGTCAACGCTTCCGCTCTTGCTTCTGTTGCTACTGCTGTATCGGCGGTTTTTGGAAATGCCTCCAAGGAATTCCCCCAAGGGTCAGAATTCCTCCCCTCACTAGTGCCGCCCTCGCCATTTTCCCCGCTACAGTCTGCTGCGTTTGCGCGGCCTCTGCACTCTCGCCTGCCTCTCCCCCGCTGCCAGATTATTCGAGCGCTGCGCGACACGCGGAGACCTAGATGCGTGGCCGGCAGGCCGACCGCAGCCAATGAAATGCCGTGTGGGAACACGTGAATGCCACGTCGGAATGGCGCGGCGCCGCAGCGGACGCGGAAGCTACTTCCACGAAGGCGGTCAGCGGGAAATTCGGGGATTCCGAAGCGTAGTCTAGAACGAGCGGCAGGTAGGAAGTGAGCGGGGAGTAAATACGAGGAGAGAGGCGAGGCCAGGGGGAAGGAGAGAAAGCACTGCGAGGGATAATAGGGGGCAAGGGTAGGAACGAGAGACGCCGTGGAAGAGCGCGAGTTAAATAGGAGAATGTGCGAGAACGCGAGCGATGGAGCAGCTGCCATTGATCGATGAGGCACGCGAAACAAGTTGAGAGAGGCGTTGAGGGGAATCCCTTGAATTTCACCAGTTTGAGCTACGGTAATCGGTGTCATCCAAATAAAACTGATGCGCTAGGTTCTGTCTGGTTGAAAGTGGTGGTCATGATTAGTGTAATACAATCCTAGCTTATGAAATCCGGTATGGTTAATCTCAACACCAAACAGTCAATCAATGGGCTTGTGCTGATCTATTGGCTGTTTAGGCGTTGATGGTCTTGATTTGGGTTTCATATCCTTCATTACGACATGGTGATTTAGGGACGTATATTTTCTAGGGGCTGTTATTTTTCGGTTGTCCTGAGTTAAACAAATGCTTCTCAAACCACTGGTTAAATACCTCAAATATATATTCATCCATCCATGTACTAGCGTTACATCTACTGTATATTTGCACTTCATCTACAAGGATGGTGAGACATATAAGGTATGTTTATCCGCAAGTCTATAGCGAGCAATTACTGGTGACAGCTGTGAACGTTAGGGGAGCGGTGCGGCGGTTTTCTACGATGCCCGAGCATTCGGTGGGAGGGAGACGGTCAGCATCGAAACCCTCCTTTCCAGTTTGTCGAAATATTTTGTATGTCGGCCAAACGATCCTCCTCACTGGCCCGCCACACCAACGACCAAAAACACAAGCTCAACGGCGCTGCGCGAATTTTTTCTTCACTCGCCCGCGCCCGCAAAACATGTCTCGCTGTCCAAACGCCACTCAAGTCTCGCACCGCACCAATGTCACCGCGAATCTTGGAGCGAGATGCCCGACGGGTCGCGTGGAATGTGTCGCGTTGCTTGCCTTCCCTCCCTTCCTCCCTTCCGCCCCCTCGATGTTCGGCACTTGGGAAAATCGCGCCTCTCCCTATCCGTCGTCCTCCTTGATGTCCCTCTTGCACCTCCTCGTATCATCCACCTGATATAAATTACCTATCTGCCTCATCGATACAGTGCAGTGGCAAGCATTCACTCTCCATGACCATACCTACATCGCGACAGTAAGCCATCCTTAACGCTTGTTAACCTGCCAGATTGTCGAACCCCGCGGCCGGAAGTCTAGCATAGCCCCTCCGCTTTCAGTTCCCTTCCCTCTTGGCGCACCGTTTGCTCGTCAAGATGCACACCGTTTCCCATAGCAGCGGTCCCAAGGCGCCGGTAGTGTATGCCTTCTGCGTCACTCTCGTCGTAGGACTCCTGCTCCTCTCGGGCCCCTCCTCGCACCACCATGGCAAGCACAAACACGGCAACCGCCGACGCTTGGACGGCGGGCGCAGACGGCACGCGAAGGAGCCGGGCGAACAGGTGATTAAACTCCACCGCGCGACGACGGAGGTGAACCCCAAGCTAGACCACATCACGTTCGACCCGCTAATTGCGGAGATGGAGACGAAGCAAGACGACCACTCGTGGGAAGAAGCGTATTTCCGAGAGCACCACGAGGAGGTGCACGTGCACACGAAAGTGGAGCCCGTCTACACCGTCGGACACGGCACCGACGGGCACGGGGGAAAGCAGGGGCATGAGCACGGCCAGGGCAGCGGGAACGAGAGCGCGAAGCACGGCGGGCACGAACACGAATATGTGCACGGCGAGGAGGTGGAGGACGAGGAGCTGCAGCACCTCCACGACCACATGGACTCAGGTGCGGCCTGCGACGCCATGGACTCGAAATCCGCGCGTTGAGAACGCCGGGAAAGCGAGTGAGGACGCGGTTGCCGGCGCAGCACTGGTGGTGGGATGCGAGCGAAATGCCACACGAATTATTTTTTAGGCGATTCCAACCTGTTGATGTTTACCACCTTCTCCCACCCTCCACTTACGGCCCAGCACTGTGCTGAATTACTGCTTACCCTCCACCGCCTGCTGCCGCTTCTTTCCCAAACCCCGTGGCTGTTTCATTAAATCGCAGCGCACGTGGAGAGCAAGGTGAACGTGTCGTCGCGCATCCGCACGCTGTTCCCGCTCATCGACACGGACGAGCGCGACGGGTACATCTCGCTCAACGAGCTCGCCATGTGGCAGGTGCAGCAGGCGCACCGCAGCAGTGCGCACCGCACGCGGCGCGAGATGGAGATCACGGACGCGAACCACGACGGGTTCATCTCGCTCAAGGAGTATCTCCAGGACGACTCGGACGGCGACGAAGGTCAGTCGCCGCTTATTGCGCTAGCGCCCACTCGCAATTTCTCGCCTCCCTTCCTACGGCGCTGCTCGCCTGCTCGTCTTCCCCTACATTGGCTCGGCACGTTTTCGCCTCTGGCCTCTCCTCGGTGTTCGATTCTTATCCGCGCTGGCCGCGCCACCGTTCCCTCAAAGTCTTGCCTTTAGTCGGCTTCCCTAACAACTGTATCGTGCGTATGCATGTGTGTGTGCGTGGCGCAGTGTCGTCGGAGTGGGACGAGAGTCTGCAGAGCTTCGTGAACCTGAGCAAGCAGCGCTTCCCGATGGCGGACACGGACGGCGACGGGCTGCTGAACGAGGAGGAGTTCAACGCCTTCCTTCACCCCGAGGACAGCCACAACGAAAATCTCACGCGCTCCGTGCGCGACGAGGAGTTCAGGTGCGCCTGCGCTTGCGGGTGTCGTGTGTGCGAGCGGGGAAAGTTATGTGCGGATTTGGGTACCCTCAGAGCCAAACGCTTGATACATTTCGTACCTCGAGTTCCTGCCGACGTCGTTTTTAACTCGGCTCCTGGGTTTTCTGGGGAAACGGCCTTCTTTCTGGGTTCTACGGTGTGCGCGCGTTTGCAGGGCGCACGACAAGGACTCGGACGGGCGGCTGAGCTTCGAGGAGTTTTTCGAGAGCGCGTGGGAGGACGTGAAGGCGTTCGACGACGAGTACGAGAAGTGGGAGGAGCACCGCTTCGCCCCGCACCCCGACACGCTCAAGCTGCCCTCCCACGGTCACGAGCAGCACGCGCAGCACGGGCACGAGGAGCACCACGAGCACGGGCACCATGGTCATCACGAGCACCATGAGCACCACGAGGGGCACCATGGGCACGAGTACGGGCACGTGGAGGAGGAGAAGCCGCTGGAGGTGCGGCGGGAGGAGGCGAGGAGGCGGTTTCAGGACTCGGACTTCAATGACGATGGGTGAGTGCCGTCGCCGCTGCTGCTGCTGTGCAGCAATTCTGGCCTCTGTTCGTTTCCCCGCTAGACAGGTCACTGCTGGAAAAGTCTCCTGATGCGCTAGGAGGGGTTGGTTCAGATCAGATTCTCCAGGCTTATATTACCCCGCCTCTGGCTTGTTTCCCCACCCCTCAACTCGTCCCTGTGTGGCGTGCAGGTTCCTGGACGTGAGCGAGTTCGCTGACAACCTGCTGTACGCCCTGGCACCCAACGAATACCACTTCGCCGAGGAACAGGCCAAACACATGCTCACCCAGGTCAGCCCGCTGCCGTTGCTGCTGCTGCTGCCACTGCTTTAGCTGCTGCTCTTTCCCTCTCCTTCTCAGCTCCTTCCTTTCTCTCCTCGCACTCTCGCTCACCGCGCTTTACCATGTGGCGTCTCAATGGTGTGCGTGCAGGCGGACGACAACAAGGACAAGCACCTGTCGCTGGACGAGATGCTGCGCAACTGGTCAGCCTTCTATGATGTGGTGGAGGAGCACTCAGAGCCACACACACCACACACGCATGAGCATGACACTGAGGAGGATGAGGATGATGACCACCAGCACCATGGGTACCACCACTATGGGCATGATGGGGAGGAGGATGATGACGACTGGGATGAGGATGATAGTGGGGAGTACAACTATGAGGATGATGAGGAGGGACATGAGGAGTTCAGATAGGCACGGAGTTTTGAGGGAAACAGATTTCCTCCCCTTCCGGCCACCGCCCGCACACACACAAGCCATCTTCCTCCCATTTACTTCCACCTCCTCGTAGGTTGGTAGCATTGAGAGGGGAAATAAGGAGCCCCCGCCAGTGGTACATAAGGACTTGCCACCCCTCCACACCAGACTGGTCAATGACTATTCTATGGCTCCACAGGAGCATATACGGTAGATGCAGCTGCACTCGGGTGCACTCGCTTCTTAGGATAACTAGGTAATCAATGTCCAATATGGTTATAAAAGCTTGATTAACAGAGAAAGAGCAGATTCACTATACCTGGAAAGCCAAGAGAAATCATTTGACAAATGAGTAACGATAAAAGATTGAAAGATGCAAGGAATTTTCTCGATATTCCTTCAATTTTCTCGATAAAAGCAGTACAATTTTCTGCTGCAACACCGCGTAAAGCAGCAGCCGTTGTTCGCCCGTTACTGCTAACGGGGCTTCGCCGACTTCGCGCGCACTGTTTCACCAAACCTCGCACTGCTGGCCCGGCGGTGTCGGCCTACGCTTCGGGAATAGCCCGAGCCTCGCTTCCAGCATAGCACTAGCTAGCTCGCACGCACCGCGTTTCCGTTTGCATGTTTCGCTCATGCCTTCGCTCACATTTTGTACTCGTTTGACACCTTAGTGCAATTCTCGCTACTTCGATTCATTGCACCCGTAACACTTGGTATCAGAGCCTCTTCCTTTCGGACCGCGCATCTCCGCACCCCAGGGAATCAACTTTTGATTTTTCACTCGAAGGGACTCACGCACCTTAGCCCCTAGGAGCCGTTGTCCTCGCGTTCTCTCGTAAACGCGTGCAGCTGAGAAGAAACGAGGAATGAAATGACTAAGTGAAAGTTGGGTACAAAAAGCAAACCCTAGAAAACTGTACCCCATATGTGCCACCCCACTATAGCCTACAGTAGCTATGTCATATAAATCTGACACACCCCCATAGGCAAAGTGGGGGAGAACAAGGGGTCACAGGACCAGTCAAGCAAAGCAAAACAAGCTCAGGGTGGATCACAAAGTCACCACACATTCCGAGCACAAGTTCAAGGCCACAAGGCCAGTTCACATGCAGGATTACATATATATATAAGGCTAGACAAGCAAGAGCAGGAGTATATATATATATGCATCAGTACAAACAAGGTCAAGGGGTGAGCAAGTGAGGCAAGGTGGGCACAAGACCCAGCTAAGTACAGAAGCGCTGATGATCACAAGGCG